ATCTGCTAGCAGATAACTGAGTTATCTGCTAGCAGATAACTGAATTTTGTGTAGGTTGCGTGATTGCGCGATTTAACTGTAAGCTCTTAGCCAATCAAATTGCTTTTACCAACTACAATGTATAATAATCAGGATTATTAAGTCACGAATATTCCAAAATGGAAAGCTAGAAAAAAAGGCGGTCCCAAAACAGCTTTCGGCTTATATTGACCTTCTCCATAACCATCCCCAAAGATATTAAAAAAACGTACGTGTTGTGAATCCCACGCGAGACAACGTGAACGACAACTATATATAACTTTGAAGGAGGGTCTTCGCTCGAAACGCCGAAATTCTCCTTACATTTTTCAGGTATACTGTAGCTGCATGCATTCCTACCAACGAAGCTTGCTTCTACTATATATAACTTCCCGCGGCGAAGAGCCTTCGCTGTCAAAATTCTGCTTGTTTTAAGTACACTGTTGTATCTCATGGCTGCAATGGGTAGCTTTCTTGTCAACGAATTCTTCCTTTTACTCTCAGCTGCAGTGTAAGAATAATTTGAAACTATATACAATATATACAGGGTGTATAAAAAAAAAACTGAACAGATATGAATTTGCTCTCAATTTCGCAAAACAGCTATTATAGTATCCAGTTTTTGATACATATAGCATTTTTTGCTACTTATAATGTAGAATAATGAAAAAAATTTCTCGAACTCAAATTTTATGAACCAGGGGGGAGTGTCTTTTCCAACAAACTGGAAATGGCTTGCGCACGAAATATAAAAAAAAACAACTCATATTTTGAGTTAATAGATGGAAAATTTGTTGGGTTTTTAATTACTGTACACAATTTCAGAAAATTTGCTTTAGTTTAAGCCCTTTAACTATTCACGCAAACTTGCATTTTTTTCCCTAAAAATCAGCTTGATTTGAATGCTTAAAATTAATGCCTTTACCTAATTTGCATATATGTCAGCAATATACAAATTATGATTTTTTTCTGTGTTGGTGTTGTGTACTCAGGTGAATAATATGTTTGTGATGTTACTCTGAGTGCATATCCACACCGGTCGAGCTTGAAAAATATGCCCCGGTGGAATTCGAACCTACGACTTTTGGAATACTAGCCCAATGCTCTTCCAACTGAGCTACGCTGTCAGGACGGTTCGAGTAAGTGATATTTCGGAACAGTATCTAGTTCCTTCAATACCAATGTGTTCTTGTAATATGATTTTTTTCTGTGTTGGTGTTGTGTACTCAGGTGAATAATATGTTTGTGATGTTACTCTGAGTGCATATCCACACCGGGCGAGCTTGAAAAATATGTCCGGCCACGGTGGGATTCGAACCTACGACCTTTGGAATACTAGCCCAATGCTCTTCCAACTGAGCTACGCGGTCAGGACGGTTCGAGTAAGTGATATTTCGGAACAGTATCTAGATATTTCGGAACAGTAACTAGATACTGTTCCGAAATATCACTTACTCGAACCGTCCTGACCGCATAGCTCAGTTGGAAGAGCATTGGGCTAGTATTCCAAAGGTCGTAGGTTCGAATCCCACCGTGGCCGGGCATATTTTTCAAGCTCGCCCGGTGTGGATATGCACTCAGAGTAACATCACAAACATAATATACAAATTAGGTTAAGGGCATTAATTAAGCATGCGAAAACCAGGCTGACTTTTTAGGAAAAAATGAATAGCTAAAGGCTTAAACTAAAGCAAATTGTCTGAAATTTTGTACAGTAATTAAAAAATCCAACAAATTTTCCATCTATTAACTCAAAATATGATTAAAGCTTTTAAATTGCGTGCGGAAGCCATTTTTAGTTTGTTGGAAAAGACCCCCCCCCCCCCCCC